TATTATTATTAAAGCTCACTGATTGATAAGAGTGGGACTCTTTCCCAGATGAGTATGAGTCGGAGTACAGTGTTATTCAAAGGGAATTTAAGGTGTTCATGCTCATGTTGGATTGATGCCAAACAATCTTGAGCAAGTAGCTTTTTTAAACCATCTGTATAGTTCTAGGAATAGAAAACGCCAAGGCTTTCTTGGTGCCCAAAAGGCATCTTTTTGTCTCACTCCCTCTTTTTCACATGTCTAGAACATTGTAGAAACATGTGCTACTAGACATTTGTCTAGATTAGAGAAATTGTGGATTGATGCATAAAGATCTGGGTGTACTGTACTCTGGAGCCAAAAATAGATATCAGCTGCTAACACACAAGATAGTTTGTGGAGAATTTGAATGGATAAATTGTGCAAATCTAATGCATTTGGATATTAAAAATTCTGAATAATTGTACGTTTGATAGCCACAAGGAAGGGCAAGGAACTCCATCTTGGATATCCTACTAAGGCTATACATAAATTACAAGTAAAAATATGTCAGGCTTACTATGCATTTCTCACGCAACAGTTTAAGAGATTTTAATAGACCACTGGGAACTGTATTTTCATGCCTATCTATGTAGTCATAAGAATGAAAAAGCTTTCTTGTGTTAGACGGGAACTCTGAGATTTGAAAGGACCCTGAACAATCTGTGTTATATTAAGCACCCCCAGATTTCTAAGCCATTTTGAGCATTGCCTTTCCAGTGGGTGGGATTCGGTAATGAGTTCTTTTGGAATGGTTTGGAGAATTTAGTAAGATTGTTCCAAACTAATTGGTTTCAAGATTTGCATCCTGCTATGTCTGTTTCAAGACCAGTGATGTCTCCAGTTCCGTGTCCACCCGTACTTTATACTCTGGGATTGTTCTTTCTTGCTGAACAAAATGATCTGGCTAGTATGTCAAAGGTCTACTCTAGACATGGGCATCAGATTTCAGTGACATGTTACATCCCCTTGTGTCTAATTGGTTTCAGACCTTATGGGTGGGGAGACAGAGAATGGGGGTGGAGAGCTGCAAATTTGTAGGCAGACTGTTTATTTATTTATTTATCACAGTTACCAAACTACTTTGAGACTTCTACAGTCATCCATAACGTAAGTACTTCAACAGTTGTGAAAAAGGAGCCAAGTATAATCCCAGCTGGAAAAGGCAGTAGACTTGAGTCAGTATAAAGAAAAGGAGGGGCCGAGAGGGACAAGAAATGTCTGAATTTGCAATCATGGAACCTCAGTGTTAGCTGCTGCATTTCCTCTGAGCCCACAAGGGTGGGAAGGATGATATTCTACACAGCTTCCTTTGTCATGCTTGCCACATTAAGAGCTTTTGCCCCCTTCTCATGCTCCTGTTGGTGTGCATGCATGAAAGTCAGATATGCTCATTAACTACAACTATGAGATTTTTTTAACATTATGCTCATCCAGGAAAGTTGGTGAACATCTGCATTTCAACTTCCTTGGAATCTTTGTGTCACCCTATGAATTGAAATAATTTTTTTGTGTTTGTGGGGGTAGTTTTTCATGAACTTTTTTTGGTGGTAAACCTTTTGGAATTGCTTTCTTTTTTTCTTTTTTAATTTTTATTTAATTTATTAAACAAACATCCAACCTAAGCAACATAAACCTAACACCACAATAAAGTACGATTACATAATACACCAGTGCCACCTTCACCCTCAGGACTATTTATAGATTTACCAGATGAGCGGGATATAAATCAAATAAATAAATAAATAAATAAATAAATAAATAAATAAATCCGTTCCACTGAAATCACTGTTTAGCAAAATCATTGTCTATTGAAAAGCATTTCCCCATTGGGATGCATTGAAACCTGTTTAATGCGTTCCAATGGGAAAGAATCGTTGTTGTCTAGTGAAGATTGGCCATAG